TGCGAACTGGCCAGCAGATCATTTTCGGGAAATATCATTTTCGAGAAATTATTGAAAAGAGCCTTGATTGGCTCACTGCTCTGAGCCTTGGGAATTGACCAGCAGATCATTTTCCGGAAACATCATTTTTGAGAAATTATTGAAAAAAACCTTGATCGGCTCGCCGCTCGGAGTCTTGTGAACTGAACAGCTAATTATTTTCGAAAAATATCATTTTTGAGAAATTATTGAAAAGAGCCTTGATTAGCTCGCCGCTCCGAGCCTTGTGGACTGGACAGCAAATCATTTTCGAGAAATGTCGTTTTCGATAAGTCATTGAAAAGAGCCCTGATTGGCTCCTTGCTCTCTGCCAAATGAAAGCTAACGTTCCCTCTTTGGTGGCTTCGCCGCTCTTCTGATTGCGCGGAGGTGAGCTGATCCGAAGAGAACGGTAAGAGGATTGAACATTCCTGCGTGACACGGAGGGATCAATTCCGACCGAGATTACTGTGAAATTTTCGCAAAGGAAAAGATCTTAAAATGGCCTGTGGTTAAGGACCAAGAGTAACCTTGCTGAAAGGGACAACCCTGCTGGTCGCTGAGGACCTCGGAAGCGGGCGCGGCGAAGTGACAGGCGCCGTAGTTCATGGTTTCAGCGAATGGTAGGTAGCTCCTCCCCGGGTTTCCTCACAACGGGTCGTGGAGAGGGATACAACACGAGATGGCGGATTCCAATGTGCGGGGGTTGTCGCTCTGATGAAAGCGTGCGAGAATGACAAACGATGGCCACGTGTGGGGAAATCTTGGTTAAACTTTGTGCTTGTGAAGAGACAAGTTGTGTTGTCGACGTCTTTGTCATGGGGAGAGAACCTCAGTTGCCTTATACACGGAGCAATGGCAACTGCGTGTGGTGCTACATTGCATCCTGCAATGTCAACAACCCTGTTTATTATTCATGGGCAACCTCGCCCTGACATTGCACGCATCACACACACTATCGTGAAATCTGTTGTAGAGACAGACAAGAAGGCACCACCACCGACTAAGCGCAGCAGATATGAGTAGTATGAGTTTATGAGAGAGAGACGCAGACTAGTCGCTTTGTGTGGTGAGTGATGAAAATGATAGTAGGACTTCAACATTTGATACCAGGGCCCTCTCTCTCTCTTGCTTTCTCTCTCTCTCTCTCTCTCTCTCTCTCTCTCTCTCTCTCTCTCTCTCTCTCTCTCTCTCTCTCT